AAGCCTTGAAAAATTGTTAAGATATATAAAAATAGCACTTCTCCAAGGATGAACTAATAAATTCAATATAATCTCAAAACAAAATCCAAAATGGCCATTCTTATTAAATAGTAAAATGTCTAAAGTTCACATAGAAAAACTAAACATGTGATATTAGTCTGAAAAAGAATATGTGAATGAGAAATGGCTCTGCCACACATTAAAATGTGTTACTACCACAGGGTTCCAATGTCAGAATTGACAGAAAAGAGGAACATTATGGAAATTCCAACATATGCACAAGAAAATGTGCAAAATTTTGTATGTAGTATAGTAAAGCAGGACAGGAAATGACAATTTGTTCATTAAATGCCATTCCTCCAACTATTTAACCATTTTTGGAAAAATAAATGTGATACGTTCCTCCTTGCTCATACAAAAACAAGTTACAGATGGTTCAAAAATTGTCATGGATAGAACAAAAATAAAATGTTAGTAAAACTGATTTCATGAATGAATTTTAAGAATAATATTGGAACAAGAAGGGACTTATTTATAAAGATAGCATGTAAATAAGAAACTATGAAAGGAAAAATAAAATCATCTGGATGGAAAAAAATCTTAAATTATATTTATTTTGATCCAACCTGACAATCTGTTTTAATTGCCACATTTAGACCGATGATGTTCAAAGTGATTATTGATATAGTTGGACTTATATCTACCATAATTATTACTGTTTTCTCTTTGTTGTCCTTGTTCCATTTTTGTCTTCCACTTCTTTACTGTCTTGTGTGGGTTTTTTTTTTTTTTTTTTTGGTGAGGAAGATTGTTGCTTAGCTAAAATCTGTACCAGTCTTCCTCTATTTCGTATGTAGGACACTGTCAGAGAGTGGCTTGATGAATGGTGTGTGGGTCTGCGCCCAGGATCCAAACCAGCAAATTCTGGGCCACCAGAGCTGAGTGTGTGAATTTAACCACTGTGCCACCAGGCTGGCCCCTCTTTTGTGGTTTTAAATGAACATTTTATGTGGTTCCATTTTCTCTCCTTTCTTAGCATATCCATTGTACGTCTTTTTAAATTTTTTTAGGGGTTGCCTTAGAATTTGCAATATACATTTACCACTTATCCAAGTCCACTTTCAAATAACATTACACCACTTCACAGATAGTGTGAGTAACTTATAATAACAAACTAGTCCTAATTCCTTTCTTCCCATCCCTTGTATTATTGTTGCCATTCATTTCACTTTTATATAATACACATAAATGTACTTATATATATATATGATATATATACATAAGCATACACAGTTTAATACACTGTTGGTATGTTTTGAACAAGCTTATAAGAAATAAGAAAAATAAAAAGTTTTAGTTTTTATTTTACCTTCCCTCATTCCTTCTTTGATGCTTTTTCTTTCTTTATGTAGATCCAAGTTTCTGACGTATATCATTGTCCTTCTCTCTAAAGAACTTCTTTTAACATGTCTTGTAAGGCAGGTCTAGAGGCAACGAATTCCCTCAATTTTTGTTTTCTGAGAAAGTCTTTATTTCTCCTTTACTTTTGAAGGAAAATTTCACAGGGTACAGAATTCTAGGTTGGTGGGTTTTTTATCTTAAGTCATTAAATACTTCACTTCATCTCATCTTGTTTGTATGGTTTTAAGAGGTTAGACGTAATTCTTATCTTTATTCCTCCATAGGTAGGCTGTCTTTTCCTCTGGTTTATTTCAGGATTTTTTCTTTATCTTTGATTTTCTGTAATTTGAAAATAATATGCCTAAGTGCAGGTTTGGGGGCTTTTGGAGGGTATTTATCCTGCACGGTGTTCCCTAAGTTTCTTGGATCTGTGGTTTGATATGACATTAATTTGAGGAAATTCTCAGTCACTGTTGTTTCCAATATTTCTGTTCCTTTCTCTCTTTCTTCCCATTCCCATTATGTGTTCTGTTATTCCCATATGTGTATGTTACACCTTTTGTAGTGTAGGGGAGGAAAACAATTCCTCTACCCTCTAGGTCCTTCCAGCTGGTCTAAGAATTAAATTAACATGAGACAGAATAACAGGAGAAGATACAGTAAAGTTTAATAACATGTATACATGGGAGAAACCCAGGAAAAGTGAGTAACTCACCATAATGGCCAAAGCCACCACCTTAGGACCATCTTCAGCTAAAGACAAAGGAGGATGTTGGGGGTAGTGGTTTGGGGCTTCAAAGGGGAGCAAGGCAATTTACACAGAAATGGAAATGCAAATGTTTGATAAATAAGTTTTATTGGGCCATCTATACACAATGTGACCCAAGAGACAGAAATTTGATAAAAATGAGCTTTCTGGTGACTTTTTGTCTGTTACACATATTTTACATTATACTATAGTTATCTTACAGTATTAGCTCTTACCTGGAAGAGGCCTTCTATCTAAAATTCTTTTGGGCAGTTAGGGGGAAGGTCAAAGTTTCTTTCAAAGTCTTTTGTTCCTAAAAATGATAAAGCCAAAGAGACACATTTTGGCGTGACCAATTCTGATTCTCTACAGTAGTTGTCCTATGGTCCTTGGATGTTCCGTTCTGCTTTTTTCGGTCTTTGTTCTGTTTTCTTTTTGGTTTTGGAGGCTTCTATTAACATATCCTCAAGCTCAGAGATTCTTTCCTCAGCTGTGTCTAGTCTACTAGTAAACCCATTAAAGGCATTCTTCGTTTTTGTTACAACATTTTTTATTGATGACATTTATTTTTTATTCCTTCTTAGAATTTCCATCTCTCTTGTTTACAATGCCCATCTGTTCTTTCATGCTGTTTACTTTATCCATGAGAACACTTAGCATATTAATCATAGCTTTTGTGTTCTGTTTTGTTTTACTGAGGAAGATTAGCTCTGAGCTAACACCTATGCTGATCTTTCTCCACTTTATATGTGGGTTGCCGTCACAGCACAGCTGACAAGTGGCATAGGTCTGAACTTACAAACCTGGGCCTCCAAAGTGGAATGTGCAAACTTAACCACTGCACCATGGGGCCAGCCCCTAATCATAGTTCTTTTAAATTCCCTGTCTGATAATTCCAACATCCTTGACATGTCTGGTTCTTATGCTTGCTCTCTGTCTCTTCAAATAGTGTTTTTGCCTTTTGCTATGCCTTGTAATTTTTTATTGATAACTGGACACAATGTACTGGGTAAAACGAACTGCTGTAAATAGGCCTTTCATAATACGGTGCTGAGGCATCAGGGGAGAAGTGTTCCACAGTCTTACGATTAGGTCTCCATCTTTCAGTGAGCCTAGACCTCTGGACTATGAACTTCACAACACTTTCTGAGGTTTTATTTCTCCCTTATTTGGTTGGACAGGATGGCTAGAGTGGGCTGGAGTTGGATATCAGGTCAGTTAGGCTCTGACAACATTCCAGCAGGTGAGGATCTGGTTAACTAGTTTCCCCTGAAATCTTGTTAAAAAGAACAGTATGCTCTGACGTATTTGAAAATGGTTCCTTTCTCCTCTCCCTGCTGGAAGCACGAGAGGATTTTTCTCCATTATTTCCTCTGAGAAACCGATTGAGCTCCTGAAGGTAAATCTCACAAAATTACTGGAACGTCCCTTTGACTGGGGACACCCAGAGTTTTTAACTCTTGGGCTTGTCTGTACTGAGCTTCCAGCCATTTGTCAAATCCCATTCAGGTTTCCCTATCCCGGGACTGGTTCCCAGGTGATTGCCACTTGTGAGTCTTTGCTCTGGTAAGCCTCAACTCCCTATATTCGCCTGTCTGTCTCTCCAATCTTGGGGACAGCAGTTTGCTCTGTGTAATTTTCCCTCTTACAAATCTAGGCAGAGTTGTTGATTTTTGAGTCTGTTCAGTTTTTTACTTGTTGTTAGGAGGGAGTGACAATTTCCAAACTCCTTGCATGCATAACTGGAAACTAGATGTCTTAAATTAGATCTAAATAAAATAAACTTAAAAAATAGTTACAACATATGTAATTAACAAAGCTTTAATAAACATAGTCTATATAATATATATATATATATATATTATTTTTTTGCTGAAGAAGACTTGCCCTGAACTAACATCTACTGCCAATCTTCCTCATTTTTGCTGAGGAAAATTCATCCTGAGGTAACATCTATTGCCAATTTTCCTCTATTTTGTATGTGAGCTGCTGCCAGAGCATGGCTGCTGACAGACAAGTGGTGTAGGTGTGCATCTGGGCACCAAACCCAGGCCACCAAATCAGAGTGCACCAAACTTAACCACTAGGCCACTGGGGCATGCCTTGCAAATTTTTGGAAAAAAAATACAAATTCTTTTTGTTAAAAACTCTGAACCATCACTCCACAAGATATAAAATACAAATGATAAATATATATGAAGTTGTTAATTTCATTAGTAATCAAGAGAAGGCAAATTAAAGTATGAGTAACATATATTTCCCCAGTAAATTTTAACATATTATCCAATGGTTCTGAGGATGTATGAAAACTATCATACTTACTCTAAAGATGTTCTAGCATTTCCATTTGTAGGAATTATCCTCCCACTTCCAAAAATACATAACTAGGAATATATAAGCAAAGATGTTCATTTCAACATTGTTTATAATAGGGAAAATTAGAAATAAAAGTATATCTTCAGTAGAATGGTGTAAATTGGGATTCAATGAAATAGTATCAACTGTTGGATGCAAATGAAAAGATGGCTGTTTATACTATTATGTAGGATAAAATCATATTATAAAACACTATGTGTATTAAAACCTGCATACAAATACTAGGAAACACAGACCTAAAATCTTAATAATGGTTCTTTCTGGAAGGTGAGATTACACTGTCTACTTCTATGTTGTTTGCTTTTTATCATGAATCTTAAATAAAATAAAATAATATGATATAATAAAGTCTTACCAGTAAGTTTTCTGTGGAGTATAGTAACAGGTAACTAAAGAGAAAGATCTTCAAGACTTATTATCTACCAGATGAACTGGTTTTAATACAGTTGGTAATCCCATTTTTTTCTCCTGCCAGGGAAAGGTGAACATGGGAAACCTTACCCCCTCACTGAAGAGGACCACGATGACTCAGCTTATAGGGAAAATGGTTTCAACATTTTTGTCAGCAACAATATTGCTCTAGAGAGGTCCCTGCCAGATATTCGCCATGCTAAGTGAGTACCCGCAAGCTCCTTGTGCAGTGCGGTTTTCTTTTGTTTGTCTGTTTTGTTTTATTATGTTTAATGTGTATCACAGTGAGACACATAACTAAAAATTTTGTTCTAATAATTTCATTAGAACCTTTTATATTTCATAATCTTACATATGTTTGATTTAAATTAGAATAACTTTAAAAATTCCAAAAGAATAGCTACCAACTCTCTAAAACTTAATACACATTTTCGTTATTGAGTTGACTGTATCATCTCCATTTAAAATGAAATCTTTTCATATCCATGCTTTTACTTTTGATCGTGTAGTTTGTGAAGCAAACATTTTTTTCTGAGGGTTAGTGCTGTCAGAACTGTCTACATATATATTTATACCTTCTATCGACCTCATTCTCACACCAGCCATATTCAGTGCCCTTGTTTTTACATCTTCCATAAAGAATGCCTGAAATGAATGCAGCCATAATCCAAAGGCAATGGTTGGTTGCTCAAGTTCTGACACTTCATGAATTGCTTGTGGCTTGTCAATTACCAGTGAGTTCAGTTTTTACTGAATCATACCCACATAGTATAGTATAAATGGAAATCAGGATAATATTGCATATATTTACCTGCAATTCATCTTCTCTATGTCCACCTCTATCTACTCCTAACATTGCCTCATGTACTTTTTTTCTAGTTTGTTATGGTCTGCTTGTTAGCATATGCAATGCACAAAGTATGTCAAGAACAGAGAATGTGATCAGAATTTAAAGTTGTGGAATTGTCATGGATATTTGATAATCTATCCAACTATACTAATATGTTCACCGCTCCCCCCTACCTCAATCTCCCTTTGGAAACAATTGTGTGAGAGAAAGAAAATAAAATAAGGGCAACTGTTGAAATTAGGACTAGGAATCTAAATTAAACCAGTAATGTACAGTAAATAAAACTCTTAATTTTGTGCAAAAATAATTAACCCTTTAGGAAAAAAGTCAGTAAATTGCAGTTTGGGGGACCATTCTTTAGTTGCCATATTGTGTATTTATAACGTTATTTTAAAATATAAAAGAATTATTGCTTCCTCCTCAGCTTTTATGTGAATTTGCATTTCCCAATATAGTTAAGCAGAGGATTAATGTGAAGAACAAATCAATTTTTCCCTAAACTGAATGCTTTATGTATTGGTCTAGGCCTTCTAGCTAGCCAAATTATTCCCAAGTTACCTGAAATTATCTACAGTAATTCCCACTGACCGAGAACATTTTTAGTTATGAGAAATTTTAATACCTAATTGCACACCATCAAAGATGCATTAAATTGCACTGTTGGCATAATAAATGTGCTCAGAGAATCATTTCCATCCACCTCCTCCCCCACCCCCACACTTCCAATCTTTTAATGTGTATTCAAGCGGAAATAATTACAGATGGAAATGGTGTAGAAACTCACTGAAGTCAAAAGAAGGCTGATATTCCCATTCTTCTCAGACAGTGTATTTTTAGAGTAACTACCTCCTTTTGAAAAAAGATGTTCTTAGGCAATAATGGAAAAGAAAATGGAAAAATGGAAAGAAAAATATTTTGAAATTTTTATTGGAGTTACTGAGTTTACAGACTCAGAGGGCATTATTTTAAATGTTAGGAAAGAAAAATGTGGCTAAAATATGGTCTGTGATCATGTTCTTACTTGTTTACTGAGGCTTGATAACTAATAAGACAAACAGTTGCATAGTAAAATGATACCAAAAATGACAAAACCTTAACAAGGGTTGGAGGCGCATGACAGCAAAGTGCTAAGTGTGAGACAACCAGGAATGGTAGATTACCCTGGTTGGTCCAGTATCTGACTCTCAGAGTTGCAGGAACGGAGATCCATTGTTGCCTCTGATGTTGTTGAGGTCCTACCTGAGGGGAACCAAGAGCCCAAGAAAGTCTTACAAGGATCCCACTGTTTAAAAGTCCTGTGCTTTTGACCTCATTTGTGCTTCTCAAAATGCACGCACAGGTAACTACAAGAGTATGAAGCTCTGTGTAAGTGGTTCTTGAAATTATAAAAGCAACTCGACACACACTCCAGTGTTTTCAGTTGAACTAGGCTGCAGATCATTGACCATAACTTGTTTATTTTGACAGAATCTATAGAAGAGAATGCAAAATTGGTGTGACTTTGATAATCAGACATAAGAGTTCTAAGAAACCTTGCATTTGCAGTCAGCTAATTCAAACTACAGGCTCAGAATGATAGGAGAGAAGAGTTTATATTTCTTTGCTCTGAGATTTTGTTATGGAAAATATTGGGGAATACTGTCTTGCAATTTTGCTTAACTCGATCTTTATTACAAAACACAGAAGCATAGTTCTTCCTCCACTCTTCTGTAGTCTCTTCTGATCACTCTCTCTGAGTATGCAAGTGCTCTCTACCCATTCATATTCTCACACGTAGTCAAAAAAAAGTCATGGTTCTAGGTGTTTTGATGTGCTTAGTGCACATTTTAGTTCACTGTGAAGAATTTTCAGAACAGGAATTATTTCAGAAATCTCAACTCAGAAAGCATGTTTCTTTTACTTGTCCTACTCCCTTCTTCTTCACTAGCATAAAAATGAACTGCTTTCTTTTGGCTTTATTATTTTGTGGAGTCAGTAATAGATTCCCATTAAGTAGGAGCCATAGATAAAGGAAAGTCAATTGACATATGTGGAATAATTTAATCATTCTTGCTTATATCCTAAGAATAATTTCCAAGCTTTTTCATTTATGTTTTACTTTTTTGAAGACATATCTGTGTACTTTAAATACTCCCTTCTTCAGTTGTTGCCTAATTGTGTCCGAATCCATAGTACCTGGGTATAACCTGAGAACTGTCCTTAGAACATATTATCTTTATATTTTATTTAATGCAGTGTTGATAAGAATTTTACTCAGGAAGCTTCTGCATGAAAAATGTCCAGTCAGTGGATATCTTGCTGGCCTGGCTTCATTTTACCACACTTCAATTTTTCCCCACCTGCATATTGATTGTGCATTTTCTTTGTATTCAGTTACCCGTTTTGGATGCCAGATCTTTGTATGCTATAGGACATCTTATTTTGACTTCCAGTTCAAAATAGGAAATATGAAACATATATGTAGAATACAGAATACATATAAAATATGGAAATAGAAAACCATGGAAGGATGGATGGCCTGCATAGAAAAGAAACTGATAAACTTATGAATGAATATATTGTTAGCAAGATGAGATTGAAAAATATTTGAGCAAGTATTACTCCCAAATAAAAACAAATTCATCAGCAGTTACCACAAATACTCCCCCAAAATGGTACAATTCACGTGTAAGTTGAAGTTGCATCTATGAAAAGAAGAAATGCATGAGATTAGGACATATGAGTCATGTATAATAGGAGAGCTGAAGTATGCTTTGCAGAGGATTCAGGTAAATGCATCATTGATACGGGTTCATTTTTTTTTGCTGTAATAGAATACACATTTACACAGATATATACTCATGCATGTTAACATTAAGATGCATTTAGAAGGTAAGTGAGTAGCTGGCATATTTTTCAATTAAAATAACTCTACTCTGAATTGTGGATTTTCCTTTTCACTTAGCTTTTTCCTTACATTTCATTATATTTCCAAGATAAGGATAGTTTTTAGCTTCACAACTTTGACAATAAATAAGATATTGAAGATTGAGAGAAAAGTCTATGATATCTCTTGAGAAAATATAGGAGGAGCGTTTTACAGCCTCTTGGATTATATAATTGCTTCCAGCAGTGTTGCAGTCATGTCAGATTAATACATCACAACTTTGCTCCCTGTACAATTTCAGGGCCAAATGAGAGATAGTCCCAGAAATGGTTTGGAATTAAAATATTACTCTTTTTATTGATAAGATTATATTGGTGGACATAGTTTGGATGTGGGCCACGTGTGATTCCCAATACTGAACTCCAGAACGAGGTGCATCTAGCCTTCATAGACATTGCTGGACAACACAGGGATGATTATATAACGTAAGGCATGGAGGACAGTTAGTTGTCTGCTCTCTGAAGACAAGCAGATCCCAAAGCAGAAAAATGAAGGAGGAGCTGAGCCAAGCGTGGGAAGCTCCATAACTCAAACTCATCAATTGTGTGTCTTACTTTCTCCTGGAAAGAATGCATGAGAAGATGGAGAGAGACTAGGAGTATTAATCTAATTGTTGTCCCTCTACATAGGAACATCTATCGAGAGGAAAGGGAAGACTCCTTCCTAAATGAATAGTGCGTAATATCCGCTTTGCATTTGAGGAGAAACATCAGCTTCCCAATTTTTTGAGAAATTTCTCATTTTTTAAAATTTTTTAGTGCCTTACAGTCTAAACATTCCTGCCTTCTAGAAATTATGTTGAATAATAGTTCTGGAAAAGTTGACATCCATGGCTTGCACTGTAGTGCTGCATAAGTCAATTTGTCGTTTTGAATTTCTATTTACCCACTTCATTAAGTGGGAATTCTAACTTTCTTCATGCCTCTCACCATGTATTAAGATTATTAAAGTTGAAACCGGGTTTACCAAATCAGCTGTAGCATGATCTATTCAGTTATTTCTTTTCGTTCTGATGACAATAATCCTTCTGGTTCCCTTCTTTTCCAGTTATATCATGAAGATATAAAAATAAGGAGATCTAGTGAACTACAATTCTAAAATTTAAATCGTAAAAAGAAATTTTGTGAGTCAATTTCTTAGGAAAACTAATTATATGTGTCCAAGAAAGTGTGATTTAACTGTTTTGACTCTTGTCTATTGAATACTAGAACTCACCCATAGAAATGTCTGAGTTTAACCATCCAAAAACATGCAAGGATAAAATTCTTTTACTTCTCAATTTCAAAAGCTATGTAAAACTTTTTGAGAGGCACTGGCTTCTTTTATGTTTTTATTATGATTTACTTGTGAAGTTGATTAAGCACCTTCTTTCAACAAGTTTACAAATGAATGCTGAAGCAAATTAAGCTAAAATCACTGTTCCAGCA